ATAAGAGCGGGGTTTTTCTTGTCCCCGCAACGTCCTTGTGGCTGCTACAGCTTCTGCGACGCCCTCGGCAGCGGCCCTGGCTCGGGGGTGGCAGCAGATTTCGCTCCTATTTTCTGATTCTGCTGATGCTCTGGGGTGTTTTCTCGGTGTTAATTAATAATTACAATTATAACCACCCGCGCCGCTTTGTAAATCCTGCCCTGTCACCCCCTGGGCCCAGGGCAGCCTGGGGTTTGGTTTATTTATTTCTTTATTTCCTCCTATAAAAAAGTATTTCCGTGGCACCTAAACAAGGATCCAGGGAAGAGATTGCAGGAAAAATCCGGGGAAAGAACTCGCAGGAGGTTTTGAGGCAAGCATTGGGGTGTTTCGGAGCAGACAGCCCCATCTCCCCGCAGGATTTCCTGCGGATTTGCCCGACCTCCTCACTCTTGTTTCTGTCCGAGGTCTCCCGACGTGGCCGGGACCCCCCCGTGGCGGGGAATTTCGAGGCGCTCGAGCTTGCTGGGCTGTCTTTAGGAGTCATCAGCCAAGGCAGAACCTGTTTCTGTGGCTTTCCGTGGCGAAACGTACGGATAATGCCGCGCGGCGGCCCCCGCTGACCTCCGTACTCCGATTGTGAAGTTGCCAACAGCTTCGTGATCGTTTATTTTAATTGTTTTAGAGGAGAAATACATGAACGAGGCTTTAAATGATATTAAATTGAGGATTTCTTTCAGGAATATAGCGCCCAGAGCATCGTTTCGTAGCCTGGCTCCGGGCTAGAAATCCATACGTAATCCCTCAGCATTTCCCTAAGGTATGGAAATAATTGGGGGGTTCTGCGAGTCTCCAATCGACGCGCTGAAATGGCCACACGGGTCTGAAATCCTCCCGGTTTCCTTCTAGAATCAGGAAATCCATTTATTTCACCTCTAGTAGCCGGCTGCCGTGATAATTCCCAGGTTTAGTGGGTAAAGATTTCCTCTAAGTGCTAGCACTCCCTCTTCCAAAACCCCAAAATCGTTGGGGTTCTCTTTTGTCAGGCTCTGTATTCCCCCAGGATTTATCCGAATTATGTTAAAAATCATTATTGGCCTCTGCCTGTGCTGTTCCGGCATCCGCGAGGGATGGATTTAACGCCCTCCCTGCTCTTGGAACTTTTATTTCCCCTCACCGATATCTCGCCACGCTTCCACTCCTGCTCCGGCTCCTCCCATCGCGTTTTCTTCACGGGCGCAAAGTGTGCAACATCCAAATGAAATCCCACAGACAAAAAGACAAAAAGCTCCTCGTGCAACTCAAAACTATGGAATTCCTTGGCTTTAGGTAGACTAAAATTTAAAAAAGGGGAAAAAAAAATCCTTTGAGGAGCAACACACACGGCTGAGCTACGGATCGGGGAATTTGGGGAGCAGCGTTGCCCCCTCGTCCCGTTTTTACGTTACGTTGACCCAACGGTCTTACTCTACCACCGCTCCTCTTCTCCATGACGCACCATTGCTCTTCCTGGGACACACCATTGCTCTTCCTGGAGTTTTCCCGGTTTTCCCACCGGCACAGAAGATTTTTCTCCTTGTTCCGCATCTTTTTTTCATTCAACCTCTATCAATCGAACCTTGCTGGGTTGACCCCGGTTGGACTTGGTGAAATTATCGCTCCCCTCTTCAAGGGGACAGGGGAGAGAGAAAAATCCGGCGGGAGGCATGGGGGTGGCGATAAGGACGGGGAGAGATCATTTTGCCAGTGACCGTCACGGGCAAAACAGCCTCGACTTGGGAAAATTCATTTAATTTATTACCAACATTGAAATCGGAGTAGGAGACGTTAAAAAAATTCATCTCGGAAACCCTTCCCCCCCGCCCCTCCCTTCTTCCCGGCTTGCCTGTAATGGTAATTGACATTA